ATGTCTAAAGTTCTGTATATTAACATTTACAGTTTTCACTACTTTTTTAATGTGTTTTTTAAAGGATAATTTAGAGTCTAGTAGCACTCCCAAATACTTAAATTCCTCAACATTAATTAATACTTGTGCACCCAAGCAGACTTTTACTGCAGCCACGGTTGTTTTAGGTTGACTAAAAAACATTGATACGGTCTTTTTAAAATTAAGGCACAAGCATGAGTCATTCAGCCATTTTTGTAAATCATGTAATGCCAGTGAAAGCTGATGGGCTGCATCATCAGCAGTTTTGGCTTGAGTAAAAATTACCATATCATCAGCATACATAATCGTGTCCACATTTTTGCACACGTTAAGCAAGTCATTTACATAAAGTGAAAATAACAGGAGGCCTAGAATTGAACCCTGGGCGACACCTTGCGTACAGTAAAGATAGGGTGACTTGCTATTCTTTATTTGCACGCATTGTTTTCTATCTGATAGATAAGACTGTATCCATTTAACAGTGTGATTACTAAAGTTAAATGTCGACAGTCTAGACAAGAGCTTAAGATGATTCACAGTGTCAAACGCACGCTTGAAATCAAGAAAAACAGCCGCAACATAACTGCTCTTGTCTAAGTAAGATTTCACTCTCTCAACAAAAACACAGACAGCCGTTTCAGTTGAATGAAGAGAAGAATATAAAGCCACTTAACCCTGAACTGTTAACGATGTTGGGTTTGTTACTGAAAAATGACTCATCAGAAAAAGCAACTTATCACGTTACTCCATAACATGACCTTTATATTTTGCTTAAAAGGAGCCAGACTTTATTGCAACTTTTTACAGTGGTCTTGAGCAACAGTTTTTTAAGGTTTTCTGCTTTTTTGTATTCAATATCAGTTGACTATTCTCAGAGGAACGTTTCTTTGTTTGTTAAACTACTTAATACTGACCTATGGATAATTCTAGCATTAAAAAAAGGAACTCAAGCGTCTATGTATAACAAACAACTTAGCAAACAACTATTGTGAAATTATATCTTTAAGCACTTTGTTACCGGTAGTGGATGGGTGGCTGTCGAGACTTCATTTTTAAGCAAGCACGGGAAAAAAAGGCTGAGGTAATAACACAAGAGCTGTACTGAAAATCAGTGACAACAGGTCTTACTGAATGATCAACAAAATTCTCATCAATATGACAGCTGATGACCGAAGAAGGTCAGGAGAGAGGCACAACAGCGAGTGTCTACATCCATCTGTAAAACATGGTGGAGGCTCTGTCATGTTTTGGGGCTGCATTTCAGCCAGTGTTGAAGTTGACGGAATTATGAACACAGAAAAGAACAGCCAAATTTTGATTTGCCACATCACACGTTTTCCACGAAAAACATCTAATTGACCATTGCATTTATAATGATGATCACACACAGTCCCAGTGCAGTAAAACACAGAAAAACAACAGAACTGAACTCCCCAGAGCCCAGACCTCAGCATTGTTGAAGCAGTGTGGGATCACATTGATCTTGGTTAAGAAGGCAGCCAGCACCCAAAAATAAGCTTTGAATGTCCTTCTAGAAGTCTGGATAACTATTCCCGAAAACTACTTATTTATGCATCTTTTAATAAATTGTTGATCTATTGTTCATTTTCCCAAAAAAATGTAAAGAAATGAGGAGTAGCTCAGGACATTTGCACAAAACTGTACAAGCATTAAAGATCCACGAAACTCTCTCTTTGCCTACATCAAAGTGAATCATGGCGTCATATCTGAGGGAAAATACCTCTTTCTTTTCTCTCTCAAGCTTGTTCCCTACCATGCCGCGCCACAACTACCACCTGGTTGCCCAACAGGTCCGCGCACTCTGTGAAAAACATGGGATTCCTTACCGTGTGAAAACGTTGTGGCGAGGCTTTGCTGATATTGTCACGTAAGTGCAGACTGTTAAAAGGATTGTAAATACAGTGCATGGCTCAGTCTTCTTTTATGGAAAGACTGACTTTTCTTTTGGACTTTTACAGGTCACTGAAAAGCTCGGGGGATCTGTGGCTCGATGCATATCTCCATAAATAACAGACGGCATTTCCTTGACTGATGTAGAGGAAGCGTTTTTCTCTTTTTCATCAGAAAGCGATTGTATCCATTTCAAGTTTAAAATTCAGTCGATATTGCGGGGAGGATCTTTCTCATTGTTGGTGTTATTGTTAAGTCTTACTTTGGTTTTCAGATTTGCTGATTTTTATGGATAACAGGGTTTTCCTAAGTTGCCTTAAGAATATCTTGATCAGCAGCGGTGTGATGTTATAAACACAGTTGTGAAACTTGCCCCTGTGACTCATTTAAAATGAGTTTTCATTTTTCTATCTTGTGATCATATTTGAATGATTAAACAGGATAATTTGTTTTCACTCAAACAACAAACTATATATGAAAATGTTTATTATCTCCTGTCTAACGTGTAACTTTGTGTAACTTTAAATACAGCTCTTCTGTTCTGCTCTTTCAGGATACAATAAAGAAACCGTGTTGAAAGAAACCGTCACCAAATCTATTTTAGAAAACACATTCCAACAAAAAGCTCAATGTAAATGACACTGTACGGCAGCAACATATATACTGCATATAATCTCGCTTTTACTGACAAAAACAACAAAATGCAGAAGCATTTCTTGCTAAGTGATGCTGAAACCCCGTAAAATCTTGATAATTTTACGCTACTTTTAAGTTGCTTACCAAAACCATATGGTGGACAACTTTTTATCGGATTCCCTCCAGATCTCTGAGAGGTTATGTTGCTAATTAATCTTACCGGTTGTGAGCTGTTCAAACAGGCGTTCCAAAACCAATCATGGTTATTAACAGCAGAGCTACACAATCAGGTTTTAGGGCTATTTTTTCATGAAAGAAAGAAATAAAAACAAAAATAATCATTTGAGATCAATAAAACAAAATGAAACCTATTTGGACAGTATCCAAAGGCTCTGAGCTTTTCAACAAACAAGCACGTCTATGAATTAAACAGCTGTGTAAGCAGTTTGACAGATGTTTGTGACTGACCTGTGTTCTTTCTGCACAGTGACCTATGAGTAGACACAACAGCCTTCATCTCCAAACACAGCCTCCACTTCTTCTTTGTTCAGGGACAACAGGGTTCATGGCTCCAGTCAGGACCTCAAAACAGTCAACAGTCCTGCAGAAAATACAGTCAGGCAAATCATTGGTAGTCTATCACAAATTAAACTGTAGTTTCCTAAATGCACGATCACTTCTGACAGAAAGTGCATGCTATAGATGCAAATGCCCAGTTTTTAGGATACAGTGACAGGTAATGGCCAGAAAAGATGCCATCAATAACATTATTAACAGCTGGATTTCTTTAAGTGGTAATTTGTGCTAACATAGGCAGATTTTTATGGCACATGTACCATACCAATGGGCATTGCTATTCCTTGTGCCACGCTGTATGCATCTGTCACTGAAATAAAGATTTTAATCACTCCTTTCTGACATTTTAGTCAGAACTTATAAAGGCGATGGCTGATTAGTGGATTGCTTTATTGCAGCAGTAGCAGTACTATTACATGGTATCAGAGTACATCTGCACACTGATACCCTGCAGAAAGATAGCAAGTTAAGCCACAGGAGGTCAGCATAGACATCAAATTCAGGGAATGATACTGAAATTGCTTTCTCTGAAAGACAATGAGCAAATGATAGTCATGCAAAGTGAGTGCACATTAAAATACCAGTGACCCCTCTTCCTTCCTTCCCAATGACTTATTTTCAAACCCACTGACTCATCAACCATTAACTTGGACAAGGAGTAACATCAGGCATCACGGAGAGGCTTCACTTATTGTATTTGCAAATTCTTTGGTTGCACTGTATTTTTTTTAAAAAAAGAAGAAGAAGAAGAAGAAGGGAGAAACAAATGGCTTATACAACATCAAACAAAGTTTGAGCCATTAAACCGGTTGCCCTTTCTGAATTAGAAAATGTGCAGGGAGGTAATTGAGGCCACCCTGGCCAGCGGAGGGGGGGGGGATACTGAGCGCCGATTGGCCCAGACACCCTCGAATGATCTGCTTGGAGTTTGTACTTGATGATCGCTACATAAAGCGGAACTGAACCTTTTTAACCGCACTGTTGTGACTGAAACCCGGGGAGAGTAGTTGAAAGCCGGATGCTGTAAGTTAACATTCATCCCCTTCGTGTTATTGCCTGCACGGACACCCACCCGTGTTGCTTAATTGTTCATTTGTGGGACGATTAATCCGTTTTGGAGGCGCTTTAGTCACTTTTGTGCTTTGGGGTTTTTACACGTTAACCTCGACTGGACTTTTTCCAGCCCGTGCATTCACGTATAAAACAAATTTATGTGCTGAGTATCGATGCATCTGGCGGCTAGGTTGATGTTTAATGTCGACACAAAATCTTGGAGCTTTTGCTTCACCAGCAGCTTCAGTTGGAGGCTGTGGGATCTCATGAATTATTAATGAGGATGTTGCACTCTTCTTTGTTTTCCTTGCGCTACATTCGGTGTATTAAACTCAAGAAAACACTAGCATCAAACTAAATCTTCCCTATGTGTGCTGCTCCTTGCGTAAACGGTTAAAAGGGACCCTTTTTTACACCCAGGTCGGACTGGCACTTTAGAGCTCAGGTGCATTCAGACCAGAGGCAGCGTTGAGGATGGGACGTGGAAGTCAGCAGACGGTGCCGGGAGAGCCGGACAGCGGAAAAGCTAAAGGCGTTTACACCTGGGAGGAAGTGAAGAGCCACAACAGCAGGAATGATCAATGGCTGGTCATCGATCGAAAGGTTTACAACATCACTCAATGGGCCAAAAGGCATCCAGGAGGGTTTCGCGTCATCGGCCACTATGCTGGAGAGGATGCCACGGTATATTACATGTTTTTATTTACTTTCCTTGAAAATAAATTCAGATTGCACGGGCTTGTGCATTTATGTTTGTTTGTTTTTATTTTATTTTTTAATAATATGAAAGTTGTGGTGTTTATGAATACCACCTACCAAAATATTGTGATTAACTACAATTCTGGGAGTGAGAACGTGTTGGAGGTGGACCACGGTTTTTTGTTTTGTTTTTTTAACTGTTAAACGGTTTAAAAAAAACCGGTATTTACACGACTGTAAATGACTTGTTGGCCTATGATCGATTCATTTTGAGCCAGAAACAAACAATGCTGTCACAAGGTACAAAGAAACTTTTTTGGGAATTTTATATATCCTTTATTTATCAAGGTAAAAGTGGCACTGACATTAAAAATGTTTTTTTTATTTTTCGAGAGACATCCGATCAAGAGGGAATCAGAAATTGGAATTTAGTGCAGAGTCTAAAAGATACTTTCAAAAGAGGTCATTGCTTTTCATATTATATAACCCTTTCATAAATCCTGTTTTCCAATATAAGCAAATATATTGAACATAAAAAACACATGGTGTACAAACATTGCAATTGGATCCATGGATGGCTCCACAGAGCAGATGGCACTGGACACTGTTTAAACTCTTTAAGTCTACTTTTTACTCTGCTTAATCCCACTGGCAAGTATAGTTACTAATATAGTTTGAAATGGACACATTCCTGGGTATTAAATAGTCGTTCCAACATTTCTGTCAGAGCTTTCATTCATGTAATAATCTCTAAGATCCTCAAAAAAAAACACTTTTAACTGTTCTGGGGTGAGTAAGGGAGATCATGCTTTTATGTGGTGGCATCTCCACACCTCTATCAGAGATCAACTCTGTGTTAACATTTTTATCTTAATCTTAAGACACACATTTTCTCTATCTTTCGGTTGTTCTTAATGGTCTTACTGTTTTGTTAATTGCCATTTAATTTTATCAATTGATCTTTTTCTATCTACTACCAGTAATTAATTTTTTATGGACACTGATCATGGCTGTAAGAATATTTAGACCTTCTACAACACAAAGCCAGCAAGTTTTTCTCCCACTGTGTCTCTTTCTTTCTGCATATATTTGTGAATGCTGTTGTTAAGAAAAACATGCTTGTAATTAATTTGATTCACTTGATATTTACTTTAAATATGTCCTGCATGAAAAGTAGTTTACACGCCAGTCTACAGTCTACACCTGGACCTTTTGCCTCTCCTTACATGTCTATTCATTCTTTGGAGCTCTAACAGAACGCGAGTTCCCCGTTGAGGTTTTATGAATAATGATTCATGAAAAATAAAAATAATACCGGTGGTAGAAAACTTGTTTTTACACAACATGGTTGCAAATACATAAGTATGTTTACCAGAGGTTTCTCTTTGATTTTATGGCCCCTTAGAATGATCAAAACTATTTTCAACTACTAAATAATTTCTACTAGCTTACATTTCTAATTTTCTCTCTTTCAGGAGGCATTCACTGCTTTTCATCCTGATTCCAAGTTCGTGCAAAAGTTTCTGAAGCCGCTGCTGCTTGGAGAGTTGGCAGCAACAGAGCCAAGTCAGGACCAAGACAAAAATGTGAGCCTTTGATTCCCTGAATAAAGGACCTTGTTCAGATGCGGAACAGAAGTAGGCCAGCCTTTTCACAGATCTGAATTCCTATTCATGCATTTTACAGTGCTGGGAACAGCTGAGATTCCTGATGCTCAGGTTTCATTGCCGGGCTTAATGCCTCATTTCTCTGAATCAAAACCTAAAACGGCTAAAATGCAAACATTTTTCTTGATTTCACAAGTGTCACATTAGTACATAACATCCTCTCAGCTTTACAGAACTGTTTGTTTCTTCTTCTCTGAACCCAGGCCGCCATCGTACAGGATTTCAAAACCTTGCGAGCTCAGGTAGAGAAACAGGGTCTGTTTCAAGGTCAGCCTTTGTTTTTCTTCCTCCACCTCAGTCACATCGTGGTGCTAGAAGCCCTCGGATGGATGCTTGTTTCAATGTGGGGGACAGGCTGGATACCCACCTTACTGTGCTCGGTAATTTTAGCAACTGCTCAGGTAATTCAGACATAAACTTTAAATGGATCCTAATATGTATTTCCTTATTTTCTGACATATACACTTTTACAAAGGTGGATGCTTACATTAAACACAAAGTTTGAGATAATGAGATAAGAATACATACAACTAATCCTCAACCTTCGTCAGTAAGAGGATTAGTTCTATTGTAGTAGAATCTCAGAATAAACCAGCCAAAAACATCACATAATGCTTGCTACTTCTTTAGGCGCAGGCTGGATGGCTGCAGCATGACTTTGGTCACCTGTCAGTCTTCAAAAAGTCCACCTGGAACCACGCTGTCCACAAGTTTGTCATTGGTCATTTAAAGGTAACCTCTCTCAGTTATATTCTTTTCATATAAATTAAACACAGGTATTAAAACATTGATTTTCTCAGGGAGCTTCTGCCAACTGGTGGAATCACAGACATTTCCAGCATCACGCTAAACCCAACATCTTCACCAAGGACCCCGATATCAACACGCTGGACACCTTTGTACTTGGACAGACTATACCAGTGGAGGCAAGTAGCACAGCACTAATGTTTCT